TCCTAGACAGATAAACCATTTCCGCTCACAAATGTTTTTCGTATACAATGATATAATATCATTGGATTCAAATTTAATTCCATCCATTACAGTTACCCACTTGTAACCTACTGTACAGCAGAGCGACATCCACGACTTACCCGCTTTTTTCCTTTTGTAAACCGCTGGAAATTTAAAAATTTTACCTCCCTAATTCACTAACTATATTTACTTTCCAATYGGAAAAGCTGCTGAAGAAGAAAATCGAAGTATTAATTCGACGGCAATTTATAGTGTACTTACTCAAAAAAAAAAGCTATATAAAATAACACACATCATTGTAAAATAAATAAATTCATCACTCCATTCAGAATCTATAATATCTAGTTATACCAGTTTAGTTATTTAAGTTTTAGTTTGTACGCTTGATTACCTCGTCTACGAATATTCCACAAAGGCACAGACCACAATATTATATTAGTTATGTTGGATTCGCAATAAATATATATAAATAACAAATCAAATATTCAGTATATTGATAATTATAGATTATATGACAACACAGTATTAACTCTCGTTTAACACATAAACGCTGTTCTTTCGATTTATCGTTATTGCTTCTCGCAAGATTTCTCGTCACGGCTATCATCGTAGATCTTCAGGTCCTTTACGTGATACCAAACACCAATGTCCAGTATCGTACCGATCAATAGAAAACCTGTGGGAATCACTTGAATTATTATTGAGATGATAGTATTAAAACAGCAATGAAATAATTTTGATAACGAATTTGTAATGTATATAATCATAGTCTATGTACCTAAATATTATATTTATGCACATGTTATAAGGTTTCGCTACAATAGGCAAATGTTAACAGTCATCAGTGCATATTAACAATCACTAAAAATCGTAKCGAGTGTTGATAACATTTATTTAACGCAGTCATATTATACTTACTAGTGATTGTTGAAATTTAGGTACAATTATTATAGTGTTTGGTAAATGTTGACCACACTTGAAGGTAATGTATACTAAAAGATTTTCATATTATTTTGTTGTATTGAGACGTTGATATGTTATCGCTCTATCACAATACCGTGGTCTAAGTATTTTTAATCTGTGTCGGACACGTTTGACAATTACTATTTAAATAATATTGCAATGATTGTATCTGATTGTCAATTGTTTTCTGGATTCGTTAGTATCGACGCACTAACCAAACTGAGCAAAACAGTATTTTTAATGGATATTCGAATTAAACATAAAAATGAATATAATAAAAAGTAATCCGTTTTTAAATGAAAATTTTTGTGCAAAGACTATAAGTGAATTTATAAAGTGCTAAAGCAAAGAAAAGATGCATGTAATTAATGTATCATAGTTTATGTTAAATTTTAATTAGAATTCATCTGTTTTATAAACTATAAAGTAGGTAATCTACACCAAATGAACGCAAAATATAACGCAATTTGCATTTAGATATGTAACTGGTGACCTAATAATTAATAATTATATACAACTAATTAATAACTATTAGCATTAAAAATGCACATGGAATAGGCTTTCCACACTAAGTACTATATACTCACTAGCTCCAGTAAAGTTCAAGTAGTACTTTAGCCGCTTACCGTCGTACAGCCAACAATTACCTTCGGTACCGCAGTTACCGCCCCACACCATGCAAGTGGCATCTATCGAAAACATTTACAATCAATGATTTATTATAGTTATGTAACATATAATTACTTTATTTTGACATGTGATTGCGTGATGGTAAGTATATAATTCGTATACTTAGACTTTGATAATTTACTTACCGACAAT